TGCCCTGGCTGAGGAGTGCCCTGGCGTCAAGCCTAGCTCACAGCAACCTCAAACTCCTGTGGCTCAAGGATCCTCTGCCACAGCCCTCCCAAGAGCTGGACTACAGGCATTGCCACCGATGCCCAGCTAATTTTTTCTCTATATATTGTTAGTTGCCCAATGAATTCTTTCTATTTATTAGTAGAGACAGGGTCTTGCTCTTGCTCAGGCTGGTTTTGAACTCCTGACCTATGAAGCCAGATCGTCCACCATCGCCTGCCCGAGAGTGCTAGATTACAGGCGTGGAGCCACTGTTCGCCGGCCTCAAATTAATTTTTAAGTTTAATTTCAACACTAAATCCTGAATGGTTTATATGTATTAGTTCTCATAAGCCTAATATAACATGGTCTTTCCACCGTGCAAAACAAAACACCAACACTGCTCTCAAGTGATTCTTTTAAGAGAGAGTATATTTCTGACGTCCAAATAATGTATAATAATATAGTCATTTTAAAATCTGCACATCCTAACAGGCTTCCTCACAACAGGCGGCACTTTCATGCTTAGTCTTGTGTTTGGCACATTACTGAAGTGTTACACATCACAGTATTCTTTAGTACCACGGCTTCCCACATACGCCTGGTACTTAGCGCAACAATAGCCTCTTTAAATAAACTTCATGGTACCAATAATATCATTGAGTTCAATATACATTAAAAAACCCTTTGAAAAAGGACATAATAAATCTATTTTAACATACTATTTTGTTACCTTATTAAACTTACCAGCAATACTGAACACTATCTTGCCCCCAAAAAGATGAAGAATCTTGTAAATGCTTGCAAAGATTAAAGGCTTAAGGTGTAACCCCTTAATCTTTCTGTCCCATTTCCAGGTCAAATAACCATATATGTAATGTTAGGATCTTAATGTCAATAGGTATTGAAACAAAACCTATTTTCATTATCCATATATAAAACATTTATTATTTTAAACACAGCATTTTATACTGGCAATTTATTATAAATCAACTGCCAACTAATTCTTAACATCTTCAAGGCAGTCATGGTGTTTTTTACTTCCTCTGTATTTTCCCAAGTACCTAAGCCCTGTGGAAATATACAATATTAAGGGGCTGTGTCAAGTATATTAAATGAAGAAGAAATACTGATAAAATAATACATACTTGATATATTAAAATTATTTGAGAAAATTATAGAACAATATGTGCAGTAGTGTCCTTAATCTATGGTTTCGCCCTCAGTCAACTGCCATCTAAAATATTTAAGATTGAGAGAGACAGAGAAGGGAAAGGGGAGAAAGAGACAGATTACCACATCACCATACCTTTTATTATAGTATTACTGTATAATGTGTTATTATTTGTTAATCTCTTACTGTACCTAATTTATAAATTAACCTTTATTATAGTTACTTAGTGTATAAGATAAAAACACAGTAAATTATTATAATATATATAGGCGTTCAGTAGTCTTGGTTTCTGATATCCACAGGGCGTCTTAGAATGGCCACCCCTTGCAGCAATAACGGCAGGACGTACTGTAATATAAACTGAACACAATTCTAAGATGAATGGACTTCATAGTTTGGAAAAGAAGCCCTACAAAGGATATTGAAACCATGTGATGAGTCAACTTCAGAGACTGCCAATATTCATCTGAACAACTTGTCTGCACTAAAAAGCAGTTAAATATCGGCAAAAGCTTATTGTAAACAACACCAGATAAATGTTTTCTCCAAAAGATCTTGATAAACCAAAACATCGTAATTGTGGCACAAAAGTCCTGGCAGTCCACTTACAGAAACTTAAAATCTGCTGCTCTGGTTTGGCCTTTGCTTCAGGCTCTGTTAAGGCACAGTAGTGAACTCTGCCCCTTCACTCTGCTTTCAAAGCCCACCTAGGGAAGTTCCTACACCACTGTGATCACCACTCTTTTACTTAACCAATTTTCTGCCAACTTTTGTATACCAAGAGAACATTCCGATAAGTATTGAAAAAGTGGACTGGTTATATTAAAGTCTTAGGCTAACTATTAATAGGTAAACTACATGTGTATCCTAATGAAGAAACCAGCTAATAATTATTAGGACACAATCCTTTTGTATGTGTACCAAACAGTGGCATAGGATAAATGGTCCCTTTGATTGATGTTTACAATCACACAGGGGCACCCGTGTTAATTCCTTTACATGGCGTGTAGTTCTCACAAGCAACATGCTATGGAGTAGGTAATTATCAGCGCCCCATCTTACATGTGGGGCAACTTAGGCTTCAGAAACTAAAATGCCTTATCCAAAGTAAAAATCTGTAAATTACTAAACAGGATTCAAGACCCAGATCTGTCTGCTAAACTCCCAAGTCCTGCTTTAACCCAACACATGGACAGGACTGTAGGCCTGAACAGAATTAATCTTTCTAAAATTGAATTCAGTTGCCAACACACATAAAAACAGAATTTATATTAAATCTGTATCTCCAGCCTTCCAAGACTCTAAGATCGGCAAGAAAGAGCTCACAGCTGGCTGGTAGTGGAATACAGGGCTGCTCTTACAGCCCCCAGAGAAGCGGCCCCTCACTCACCCGCCGGCGCCCCGTTGCTCCTCTCCTGCGGCGCTGAGGTACAAGGTAGATGTTTCTCTTTCGGCAGCTTCGATCTTCTCGTGGGAGCGGTTCTGGAGAACGGCGCAAGGCGAGCCGCCGTCGCCCTGCACTCCCGCTCCATTCCGCACCTGCAAAGAGGTGTGGGAACCTGCAACCAACGCTTTCCCGGGCGGAAGGAGCTGCACGCCAAGCGCGCGCGCTGCTCCGCCACCACTAAGCTTTGGCCTTTGCGAGGCAGCCGTCGCTCCGCAAGAGACAGGAAGTAGCCGGGAAAGGGGGCAAAAGGCCTTAACTCGTGATCTGCTGGTGTGCACGCGTGCTGGGTTTAGTCTTCGGCGTACGCCTCGGCTCGGGCTCGTGTGCACGTTCCTTTGGGCGTTTTGGCTGTGCTGGCTCTGTGTCCGTTTGGTCCGGAGCCGGCCGTAAGAGCCCCGAATCTCTATCCTGAAAGCCGGGGCGGCGGGGAAGGCTGGGTTAGCGGACGGGCAGCCAGGGGCAGGAGCAGTCGTAGGGGCTGATTAATTTTATTTTTAACAAGACTATCCGTTCAGCATTCCACTGAGTGCTTTTGGTTACAGAACTGTAAATGATAAATTAAATTGGCAGGCCAGGCGCTGTGGCTCGCACCCTGTAATCCTAGCACCCTGGAGGCCGAGGAGGGCGCGATTGCCAAGCAGCTCAGAGTTCGAAACCAGCCTGAGCAAGAGCGAGACCGCATGTCTCTACTACTCAAATAGAAGACAATTAATTGGCGCAACTAATATAATGCGAGAAAAATAGCCGGGCATGGTGGCGCATGCCTGTAGTCCAGCTACTCGGAGCTGATGGCCAGCAGGATGCTGAGCCTATTGAGCCCAGGAGTTTGAGGTTGCTGTGAGCTAGGCTGACGCCACGGCACTCACTCTAGCCTGGGCAACAAAGCGAGACTCTGTCTCAAAAAAACCCAAAAACAATTATAAATGGTAATGTTGGTATAACATTTCACTGTTTGGGTGATTTCACAACACCTATCGAGCGAGGTAGGCAGAGTAGGGGTAGGCAGAGTAGGGGTGATTTAGCCTGTCGTACAGGTGTAGAAACTGAGGCTCAAATGGTTCCTATGGTTTCTTTTTTTGAAAACAATAGCCGCTGAACCAAAAGCAAGATTAGTGAAGTTGTCATTTATCTAGTCAACCGTAGAGTTTAGGAGAAAACGGGCTTTTCTTTCCCAGGTTAGTTTAAATTGCATTCCAGGGATATTAAAAGCAAGCTAGATTCTAGTACCAGTTTTGCCACTAATGATTTTTGTGACCTTTGCAACCTCGGGGGTTTAGGAGGCTGTAAAAGTGTTGTTATAATTTCAAAAAACAAGTAAATCCTTTTTTTTTTTTTATGAGAGTCTCACTGTTTTGTGGGGGCTAGAGTGCCATGGCGTCAGCCTAGCTCACAGCAACCTCAAACTCCTGGCTCAAGCAATCCTCCTGCCTCAGCCTCCCAAGTAGCTGGGACTACAGGCATTCGCCACCATGCCCGGGCTAATTTTTTCTATATATATTAGTTGGCCAATTAATTTCTTTCTATTTATAGTAGAGACGGGGTCTCGCTCTTGCTCAGTCTGGTTTCGAACTCCTGACCTCGAGCAATCCGCCCGCCTTGGCCTCCCAGAGAGCTAGGATTACAGGCGTGAGCCACCGCGCCCGGCTGTGCTTTCTTCATTCACAAACATTTACCTAGTTTCACCAGAGACTAAGGTGTTGGCAAGATATATTGCTTTCCAGAAAGTACTAAGGGCTAAACTCCTCAATTGTTAAAAGTAAAGCCAGACAAATTGCTATTATATTTTTGTCAGAAATGAATGGCAAATGATTTTTATTTGATATCTATATTTATCTTTAATAAAGTAAAAACTTTATTAAAGTATCAAAGGGAACTCATAAAATGTTTTAGCCTGTTTTTAAATTTTTTTTTTATCATGATATGTATATATGTAGCCATAATATGGCTAAAAAACATGAATAGTGCAGAAAGACTAATGAAAAATACCAATTCTCTGCCTGCCTTTCTCCTGCTTCCAGATCATATTCCTCAGAGGCAATCGCTGTCAACTTTTTTTGGCTATTTTAGTAGTTTTATAGTATGACTTTAAAGGTATAAAGAGTATATGCCTTCCTCTCCCCTCTTTTTGCCATTTAAAAAAATTATCCATTTAAAGCCATTGTGTAATAGAAGAGGAGAGAGCTTTGTCATACACCATCATCCCATTACACCCATTTCTCATGCTCCCTATGTATTTATATTTCTATTTTAGTTAGTAACATTATTATAAAAATATTGTTCAGTGCAAAGAGGTGGCATAAAATCTTTAAAAAGGATATCGTTCTAAGTTACTGCTTTGCTTCCCATTTGCTTTGTACACAGATCTGAAGAGATTGCCTGGATGCGGAGTGTGACTTTCCAAAACCACCTTTGTCTTATGCTGTGTTTGCTGCAACAATGTTTAAGAGATTGACTCTTCCAGAACTGCTTTTTGCTAGCATCCTTGGAATTGCTTCAGGAGTATATATTTTTCAGCCAGTATTTGAACAGTATTCCAGAGATCAGAAGGAATTAAAAGAAAAGTTGCAATTGGCACAAGAATCAGAAAAGAAGAAGAGTTAATACTACATAGAGTTGAACTGTAATGATTACTTAAAGTTCCATTGAAATTATATATTGACTATAATCTAATAAAAACAGATATATTTTAAATATAAATAAATCATGAATAATTAATAAACATAAATCATTTTTAAAAATCAGTACTGTTAATTTTAATGCTTACTATAATTTTATTTGCCATTTGATGTCTTATCACCAAGACAGTAATTTCCTTTTAAACAAAAATGAATGTTTTAGGGAAATTTTGTTTTCTACTTGGGGTTTATTTTTCTGGGAATGCAGCCTATGCAGTGTCTAGGTGTGTATTAAATGATGTTTACAGTAATATTTGGAGATAAGTGAACCAAGTTAAACTGTCTTAGGCAGAAAAGTCCCTCAGCTTGGTTTAACATACAGTAGTATTTGTATATACTTTAGCAGTCTTTAGGGCCATCCATTTCTCATCCCAGGCAGAAAGGAGGAGCAGTTGAAAATTGTATAGCTCAAATCAAATCAAGATACTGCATCTATTCAAATTAAAACCACAGTGAGATAACTCTTCAAGTTTACTAGGATGGCTACAGTCAAAAAGATGGAGAATAAGAAGTGTTGGTGAGGATGTGGAGCAATTGGAACTTTAATACACTGTTGGTGGGAATATAAAACAGTGTAGTCACTTTGGAAAAGTTTGGCAGTTCTTCAGATAGTTAAACACAGAGTTGCCATATGACCTAGTGATTCACCTCCTAGGTATCTACCCAAGAGACTTGAAAATAGAAGCTGATACATGAATATTCATAGCAGCATTATTCATAATACCCAAAAAGTGGAAACAAGTATCCATCAATTAATAAATGGATAAATAAGTGGTATAGCCATACAATAGAATATTATTTAGCTATAAAAATAAAGTACATGTTATAATATGGATAAAATTAGAATACATTTGTATTACATGTCCAGAATAAGAAAGTATATAGAGAAATACAATTTATATATATTATTTATATATATATTACATAATACATTGAGAAAATATAGTAGATTAATGGCTGCAGGTATGAAGAATGATACAGTGGCTGTGTCGTGGCCTGTTTACAGGATGGAGGATGAACACAGAACACAAAAACGTGGACACACATACAAATGGTTGACTTGAGTACCAATACACCAGTTCAGTTTTATTTTTATACTCTAAAAGATTAAAGTTAGTTCCTTGGGCCGGGCGTGGTGGCTCACACCTGTAATCCTAGCACTCTGGGAGGCTGAGGTGGGTGGATTGCTCAAGGTCAGGAGTTCAAAACCAGCCTGAGCAAGAGCGAGACCCCGTCTCTACTATAAAATAGAAATTAATTGGGCAACTAATATATATAGAAAAAATTAGCTGGGCATGGTGGCACATGCCTGTAGTCCCAGCTACTCGGGAGGCTGAGGCAGTAGGATTGCTTGAGCCCAGGAGTTTGAGGTTGCTGTGAGCTAGGCTGATGCCAGGGCACTCACTCTAGCCTGGCAACAAAGTGAACCCTGTCTCAAAAAAAAAAAAAAATTAGTTCTTTGTACTAACCACCCAGGCGAGCCATAAATTCTGAATGTGTAGGCTTAGGAAAGCGATATCCCTGCTTAGAATTTCAAGGTGGTGGCGCTAGGCATAGATCACAGACCGAGATTAGCAACGATGGGCAATGCAAGCTACAGGGGGCATTTCTCATCCCAGCTTCTCTTAGGGTGACCCCCTAAGATCTTGCTGAACCCTGGCAGCTGTGCCTGGCTTAGGTCACCCCTCCCTTGAGGGTCTTACCCGTCATTGACTAACCAGCCATCTTACGGGGTGTTATCATGTGCCTCCAGACCCCCAATGCCATGGGGCAGAGCAGCTCTTGCTTACTTGCAACTCAGGTCCTTTGTTATGCCTCTAGGCAACACCTTTGTTTATCACAGGGAACCTGTCCGGAACACATTACTTTCAAAAGCTCTGGGCAGAACACATACATTACTCACTAACTTTAATTCATAAACTAGGAAATATATGTCAGTCCCTCCACGGCTATAGTCTTAGGTGATGAAATGTTCTGGACACTGCATAATGGTGATCAAGGTACAACTTTGTGAATAAATTAACACTGAATTTAAAAGGTGAACTTCATTTGTGTGGAATTATACTCAATAAAACTGTCAAAAAGATATACATACATCTAAAATAGCAGCTGCAATTGAGGTAGTCCACTGTTTTCTGCTATTGCGATAGCCCACAATCCATCTATTTTTTGTAGTGAAATATTATAACATACAATTTATCTTTTTAAGTGTACAGTTCAGTGGCTTAAGTATATTCATATTGTGCAACTGTCACCACCATCTATCTCCAGAATTTTTTCCATGTAGTTTTTTCAGGGCCCAGAGAGGTGAATTGAATGGGGATGTAGAGACTCCATCGCTAAATCTTTGATATCTTTGAATGTGGCATTAATGTCTGTAGTTCTTTGCATCAATTGCTTCTAATTTACTATTTTTTTTTTTTTTTTTTGAGACAGAGTCTCACTTTGTTGCCCAGGCTAGAGTGAGTGCCCTGGCGTCAGCCTAGCTCACAGCAACCTCAAACTCCTGGGCTCAAGCAATCCTACTGCCTCAACCTCCCGAGTAGCTGGGACTACAGGCATGTGCCACCATGCCCGGCTAATTTTTTCTATATATATTAGTTGGCCAATTAATTTCTTTCTATTTATAGTAGAGACAGGTCTCGCTCTTGCTTAGGCTGGTTTTGAACTCCTGACCTTGAGCAATCCTCCTGCCTCGGCCTCCCAGAATGCTAGGATTACAGGTGTGAGCCACCTCGCCCGGCCCTAATTTACTATCTTATTCGGGTAAGGCAGGTTCAGGAGCTTTCAGTTGGCCTTTTCTACCATAAAGGCTCTCATCAACGGCACAGATCAATATGAGGTCTCTGTCAACTACTGAGTTTGTATTTATCCTACTTAAGAATTGGGTGTGTGTGTGTGGGGGGGCGTGGAGACCGAACAGAGTGGGTCCTGTTAGATTAGTGTGGGCTAAACCTGCACTCATCCTTTCATCTCCCTGAGCTCCTACTCTGAACTGAAGGACCATAGGGGTATTTCTTGTCTGCTTGTACAGTCAGCTTAGGTCTTGTATCCAGTGGTCATCAAAGTCTGAGTATTCCTTTTGCCCCAGTATACATTTATCCTGGTTAATGGTGTTATATCTCTTGGGGGAAAGAGTAGGGGAATGTTTTTGTGTAATTTTGTATTGAAGAGTCCTTCCTCAAGTGGATACAGCTTCTTCCATCATTGAGCTCAAAGTCTATGAAATCTATAAAGTGGCTTAGATCAGGAAACTGGGGAGGGACCATTAGTTCCATGGTGGAGACTGACATTAGCCTTCTGCTCACTAGTTCTCAATTTCCTTTAAAAAATCATATATATATATATAAATATGTATATACACATAAGAAATACCCCTCCCTCCATAAAAAGAAACACTCCTATCTTTCCCTTTAGCATACCATGATCTATTAGCCATCACCACAGATTCCTGTGGTTCAAGACACCCCGGTTGTGCCCAGCTTGCTTCCCATATTGCAGTTATGTCCTGCTATAATGTCTGTCCTTTGCCTTTTTGAATTCTTTTATTTCTAGTTGATTCTAGGGAGCCCTGTTGCAGCTGCTGCTTTTGTCAACCCCAGCCTGTGAAGGACAACCACCATTAAGCTTTTCAAAGATGTTAGTGCCCTCCTCACCAGTTCTTGTCCCGGTGAAGGAGTGTCATCACGGCTTTTCCAGTTAACATAAGCAGGGGTTGATTTCTCCAGTCTTATAATAAATCCATTCTAATTCTAAGATCAGGAGGGCAGGATAGAAGGAGTAAAAGAGTTTAAGAGGGAAAGCCAAGACAATGATATACTTTAATTTCAAGTGGGCCACTAATATAGGTGACCAGATCCTATGGGATTTTTTTGAAGAGGCTAGTTTTTATTATTTTAAATAATTTCAAACTTAGAGAAAAGGTACAAAAATAGGACAAAGAATTTTCACACAACTGTTACCCATATTCAGCAATTATTAACATTGTGCCACATTTGCTTTGATCTCTCTTTCCTTATATATGTAGGTAGGTGTGTGAGTATGTATGTGTGTATACTCACACATATACATGTACAAGCTCATTATTTTCCTAAATCCTTTGAGAGTAAGTTGCACACATGATGCCCTTTTATTCCTAAATATTTCAGTGTATAATTCCTAAACACAAAGATGTTCTCTTTCATATTCATAGTATAATGATCAAGAAATTAAGATTGATAATGATATTATTATCTAGTCTCATATCTCATTCAAATTCCACCAAATCCTATTAATGTCCCTGAGAGCAAAAGACAAACTCTTTTGTTCTGGTCCTGGGACTAATCCAGGGTCACATTTGAATTTAGTTGTTATGTCTTTTTGGTTTTGTTAATTCTGGAGCAATTCCTCAGTCATTGCCTTTCATGATGTTGACATTTTTGAAGAATACTGGCCTGTTGTTTTGTAGAGTGTCCCTTAAATTGGGTTTACTGATGCTTTTTCATGATTAAATAGACTCAATATGATAGGAATACATATAACAGATGTGTTAACATGGTTCACGCATGGATTCCTATTTTATTCCACCAGTTGCATCCCATTGTTATCATCAGGGCTGGCTGCATGATTTGTAAGGCCCATTGTAGATGAAAATGCAGGGCCTGGAGTGGGGCTGAGGGAGTCCATTTCTTCTTCACATGGGCTGACTGCTCAACCCATGCACATGGGCAACCCACAGGGGATTGAACCTTCCATGATGGTGTGTTCTTGATTCTCTCAGCATCGTCCTTTGTGTCATCAGACTTCACTTATTAAACACAAATTCAAAGTTTAAATTATTAAGAATTTCAAGACAGTGACTGCACAGCACTAAAATTCTGAGTTCAAGGCTCTGCGTGACTCTCCTGGTTACATGCCCACAAAGCTAGCCCTGACAAACACTAACCAGCTCAGGCTGGTTTCGAACTCCTGACCTCAAACAATCTACCTGCCTCAGCCTCCCAGAGTGTTAGGATTATAGGCGTGAGCCATTTCGCCCGGCCGACAAACACTATTTTGATGTTCAAATTGTCCTAGATTTGGTGAGCGGGAATCCCTTCAAGCTGGTTCCAGTGTCCTTTTTTTTTTTAAGTAAATATTTATTTCAAGTACAAAAAGTGATGTTTAAACATCCAAAAATTGTGTTCAGTTTAATAGATATAAAACAAGATTTTTGAAAAAAATTTACAATTAGGTATAAAATACTTAAGAATATACTTTAACATCCACGGTGGGCATTTTTGAAAAACGAGTTTTGCTAATGTAGCTTAAAAACAAAAATATATTTAAGGTCTCAGTTAAAATAAGTCCTTAACTGAGGAACAGTCCTCCCTCGGGGTGGATCTTGTGGCCTTTTGCCTGTCTCTCCTTCATTAATATGTAGAAATACAACTATTTCTGTGTGTGGATCTAGTATCCTGTAGCTTTGATTATTTCATTTATTAGGTCTAATAGTTTTTTTAATTCTTTAGAATTTTCTATATGTATGATCATGTACTGGGTTCCTTTTATAGGAAAGGGGTGTTTAAAAATCAAGGTCTGGGTGCTAAGTGTACCATAGCTACTGTGATCTAATTGCTTCTGGGACCTCTTAGCAAACAGACCTGGTCAGTACATGCATACGCACATACCTATTATCTATTTCTGTATATTGAAATCCACCAGTTCTTACTGGTACTTCTGATTTCAATTGTTTTAGAAATACTGGGATTCTGCATGTTTCAAGTAGGAGTCTGCAGTGTCAGAAAAGCCCCAGGGTGGGGAAGCAAGACGTATACTGTCACCAATTTTGTAGCTGGGGTAAGAAGTGACGTAGAGATGGCTTGGAACTGGTGCACAAGCTGTGCTCTGTTTCTGTAAGAACACACTCTGCTTGTTTTCCTCCGACCTCTCTGGACACTCTTTCTTTAGATTCTTTTTTGGATTTTCTCTGCTCATGCCTTAGATGCTGAGTGTTCCTCTGGTTTCTGTGACAACCTCCTATTTGTCCTCTCAGTTCACTTTCTAGACTAGCTCATTGATTCTCACATCTTCCAGTACCCCTTGGGTAATATGAATAGCTCTGCCACGTGCCTTCTGTGCTCCAGGTAAACCTATTCAACTACATACTAAATAGCTTCACTTGGATGTTCTGTTGGTGCCAGTGTGTCAAAATGGAAATGTCCTAAGCACATTCATGTGGTCTATTTCACCCTCCTTCCCTGTTGCAACTAGATTTTCTTGCAGTTGCTCTATGGTTCCTAGCTGCCTAAGCCAGAAACTTGGGCATCTACATGGAACCCTTCCCTTCCCTCACCCCTTGCAACAAAGTCCTTTTGATTCACCTTCCTAAATATCTCAAATCTATCCATTCATCTCCATCATTATGGCCACCGCCTTCCTCAGATCACTATTATTTCTTACTTGGCTTTCTTAATTCTTTCTATTATTTCTTACTTGGACTGTTTCTCTAGACACGAACATGGGGTTACTTTTCCATTCTTAACCTCACCAACAGTCTGAAGGCCCTTCTCTCCCATGGGGAACAGCCACTGAAATCGTCACCCTATGATGAAATTTGTTACCTCTAATCTTGAGTTGACTGTGCTATGTTTGCTTGGAAGTGTTCTACTGATTGTATAAAATTGCCAACTCCTGGTTCACCTGTATGTGAGTTTGTAAATTGGACAGATATCCGAGAAGCTAACGGTGCTGTTATGCAACCTGAGCAGCCACAGAGTGGAAGGAGGATGGAGTTGGGCAAGTGGGCCTGGGACAGCTGGTATTTGTGGTGGAGGTGGACACAGATTCAGTGAGATGGCACAGAGGTAGGAGAAGCTGGACTAAGGCTTCCAAACATTTTGCTCCGCTTAGAAGTGGAATTGCTTGCTTCCAAGGGGCTTTGCTTTAGAGCCTCCGGGGCAGGCCCAAAGGCCGCTGTTCAGACCTCCAGGCCACTGTAGGGTAAGCCTGGCTGCCTGAGTGGGAACTAGGCAGTCTGAACCGCCTCTGGGCCCCCAGTCCAGGCCCTGCAGGCCCACGCAAAACCATCTGCGCTGAGAAGGAAAGCCGCAGGGTGGCAGCAAAAGCTCGCAGGTTCCTCCTGGCAGAGGCAGTTCTTAATGCATTGTAATTTTTTTTTTCTTCTTTCAAAAAAACGAATTCTCTAACACTCTCTTAAAAATTCAGAGTGATTTTATAATCCGAATTAAACCGTGTGAGCAGAGACTCCACCTGTCCCTCTCTCCCAGAATTATATTTATTTTTACCTGCCAGAATTTTTACTTATTTCACCCCCCCCCCGCTGCCCCCCCTCCGCCCCCTTGTCATTTTCAAGAACCCCCAGACTTTCCCTTGCCCCGGAAAGGCCGTGCCCGCGTCTACACGAGCGACGAGCCGGAGCGGCGGGATGGACAGGGGGCCGGAGAAGCCGACCCAGGGGCGCGGTCGCCGGAGCCCCCGGGACTTAGGAACCTGGGGCGGTGCCAACTTGCAGCCGCTCAGCACCTCTGGCTACGACAAGGCGCCGACCTGATGCCCCGGGAAACACCTTGAGGAAACGGGTTTTGGAGGAGGAGGTTTGGCGAGAGCCACCAAACCGTTCCGCGTAGGAAACGGATCCTTGGGGAGTTTGCAGATGTCACCCCGTGTCTCAGAACCAGAACACCCCCCTGTCGTTTCGCGCCTTGCAGCATGGGGCAGTGGACCTTTGTCTAGGGACACAGGAGGCGACCGGGGGCCGTCTCGTGGCAGGTGCGGCGGCCGCCCTGCGCGCTCGCCTGTCCCCACGCTCCCCCGGGCGGGCTGGGCGGGGGGTGCTCCCCGAGGTGACAGGAGGAAGCGGGAGGTGGAGGGAAGAGAGGAGGTCCCGCCCCCACCTCGCTCTCCTTTACGGGAAGTGATGTGGGGCCAGACGGAAAATACCCGCCAAGGACCCAAAAAGGGCCGGCAGCGGCGGGCGCGGGCGCGGACCGGACAGGACGGCGGGGCGACCAGGTGAGGGCGGGCGGCCGCCCGGGGCGGGGAGGGGGTGGGGGAGAGGGTGGGGGTGGGGAGGCGCGCTCGGCCCCGGCGCCCCGCAGCGTCCCATCCATCCCCGGAGCAGAGCCAGGCGTCCCGGGAGTGGCGGCTCTGCCCTGGGGCTGGGCTTGGAGGCTGGGGCTCCTTCCCTCCCCACCCGAGCCCGCCAGAAAAGTTGCTTTTCCGGTCCCAGGCCACCCCCGCGCGGACCCCAGTGATGACACCGCCGCGGGTGGGGAAGTAGCGGTGCCAGGTGCTGCTCAGGTACAGTTCCAGGTCGCGCCGGCGTCTAAGGCCACCCCTGGTGGCATCCAGGTGCGAGGGTCCCACTCAGGGGGAAAGGACACTTGACTGGAGGGAGGGGAGGGAGGTCCCAGGCCGCTGGCACCGTCCCCTAGTTCTTTCCTCCCTCCCGTTGCTTTCAGTTTCTTTGACGTCTTTACCCCCTTGGTGATAAGGGTCTGCACTGCACACTAGCTGCGTGGGAGAGGCTCTCCCTTTTCCTGTCAGTCGGACAGAAAACCCTACCTGGCAGCCAGGCCCTCGGGTCGTGACTGATGTGATGACAGGTTTCTCTAACTATGGCCAAAGCCTGGTCTCTGTCACCAGTTAAGCCAAGTTAGGCCTGGCCTAAGGGAATCTTGTGAGCCCTTGTCTGAGCCTCCCTGGCCTTGCTTGTGCTGGCCACCCAGACCCCCACGGCCTCAGAATCTTCTGCAGCAGGGGGCCTCTTCCTCACCTCTGTGGTAACAGCTGTTCTTTCCTACTGGACGAGTTCTCGCTTCATCGTTCCTTTATCAGTCATATGTTGGGGAGAAGAGGTAGGGGGCCGTAGTGTTATGCCATGTAAGTTTTCTGTAATCATTGCTGATTAAATTTGTGAGTGCCCCACTCTGCCTGTTTCCTTTTTTCTTTTCTTGTTTTGCCTTCTTAAAAACTTGCTTTACAGGGAAAACAGCCTGGAAAGCAGTTTCTGCAGATGGTTAAGAATGAAGAAAAATTAATATAATGCTGAAAGAACTTATCTGAGGATCCTCCTTTTCTGTGGGTTTTTTTTGTTGTTTTTGTTTCTGTTTTTTTGAGACAGAGTCTTGCTTTGTTGCCCAGGCTAGAGTGAGTGCTATGGCATCAGCCTAGCTCACAGCAACCTCAAACTCCTGGGCTCAAGTGATCCTCCTGCCTCAGCCTCCCGAGTAGCTGGGATTACAGGCATGCGCCACCATGCCCGGCTAATTTTTTGTATATATTTTTAGTTGGCCAATTAATTTCTTTCTATTTTTAATAGAGATTAAAACAGTCTCACTGTTGCTCAGGCTGGTTTCAAATTCCTGACCTTGAGTAATCCTCCTGCCTCGGCCTCCCAGAGTGCTAGGATTACAAGTGTGAGCCACCTCACCTGGCCCTTTTCTGTGTTTTATGTTGGTTTTCATTCCTACTCTCTTCCTTCCCTTTCTCCCTTCATTTCTTCTCTTTCCCTTTCTTCCTTCTTTCCTTCCTTTCTTAATTGTCATGACCTGCCTTGATTTTTAATATTGATAAAGCATAATTAATCTATTTTTCTTTTATTGCGTGTGCTTTTGGTCTCAAACCTAAGAAGCCATTGTCAAATCTGAGGTCATGAAGACTTATGTCTGTGTTTTCTTCTAAAAGTTTTATAGTTTTAGCTCTTAAATTTCATTCCTTGATCCATTTAAAATTAATTTTTGAATATGGTATAAGGGAGGAGGTCCAATTTCATCCTTTTGCATGTCAATATCCAGTTCTCCCAGCACCATTTGTTGAAAAGACCATTATTTCCCCTTTGAATGTCCTTGGCACCTCTACTGAAAATTGACCATGAATGTGAGGGTTTATTTCTGGACTCTCAGTTCTACTCTATTGATCTATGTCTATCCTTAGGCAAGTATCACACTGCCTTGATTATTGTAGCTATGTAGTAAGCTTTGAAATCAGGACATGTAAGTCCTCCAACTTTGTTCTTTTTCAAGATTGTTTTGGCTATTCTGGGTTCCTTGAATTTCCATATGAAATTTAAGATCAACTTTCCAATTTCTGTTGCCTTAGTTCTAGAACAGATGTAAGGGTTTTGAAGTGGGCAACAATCTCTAGGAGCCAGCCCTTTGAGTTTTCTGTCCCAATCCTGCTTTTTCCTTTGTCTTTTCATCTTAGTGAATGGCAATTTCGCTTTTCCAGTTGCTCAGACTAAACATCCTAGAATCACCCCTGATTCTCTTGTTTCTCTTATACCCCATGTCAAATCCCTCAGCAAATCTCATTGATTCTATCTTGAGAATATATGTAGGATAATAACCATTTCTCGCCACTTCTGCTTCTTCCACCAGATTCCCGTCATCTCTGTTACCTGGATTACTGCAAAAGCCTCCTAAAGGGCTTTCCTGCTCCCACCCTCCCCACTCCAGTCTATTCTCAACATAGCAGTCCAAGTCCATTATGTCACTTTGCTCAAAACTCTCCAGTGGCTTTTTATTTCAGAAGAAAAAAACAAAGTCCTCATCATCCTCATGATGATCCATGAGGCCCTTACATGGCATGTGGCTTCATCTTCTATTACTCCTCTCTTTGCTTAGTCCACTCCAGCCACACCCCAGGCCCTTTGCACTTGCTGTTTCCTCTTCCTAGAATGCTCTTTCTTCCAATGTCTGCAGGGCTTTCTCACTCGTTTTATTCAGGTCAAATTCATTTTTCTAGAGACCACCCTATCTAAAACAGTGTCCCTCACCACTCCTATCATTTTCTACCCCCTTACTTTGCCTCATTTTTCTTTAGAGTATTTATAACATTAACTATCATCATACACGCACATGCACGCATATGATATCTGTCTCCCCACTGGTAGAATACAAGCTCTGCAAGGGCCAGGAATTTGTCTTCTTCACTGTGGTGTCCAGAGCACAGAGAATGGTTTCTGACACTTTTGAGTAAGCACTCAAAAACAAAAACAAAACAAAACAAAAAAACAAAAAACCAACTCCAAAACCGAAAAACCAAAACATTAATGGAAAGGGATTGGGAATTACTCTGCTGTTCCTTCCCATTTTTTCTAAGAGAAGCAATGCCCATAGATACACTAACATCTCCTAAGTCTTTCCTCTTCTATCCTCTGATTTCCCCCAAGATAATGGCCTTTTCTTCCTTAAAAAGGGAAAGGTGAAATAGGTAGAAAGATGAGGGCTCGTGGTCTTTCCCATGGTGGCAGAGGGAGGCCCCGTACTTCGTACCCTGGGCAGACTGGGCGGGCCATTTAGTGCCTGTCTTCAGTATTTTGGTCTCTTGTACTGATCTAGGGAGAAAATGAAATATCTTGGAAATTTTAAAATATGGAAATTAATTTCTAGATGAATATTTGGCACCGCAGTGAATTAATCTTTCTCTGGCTTCTAAAAGAAATTGCCATCTCCAAAACTCATTTTGTCTTTTAAATATGTAACTACTTTAGACTGTCAACTGTTGGTATGTTGGGTTTATTTCCATGACTAGATTGTAATGTCCTGGAAAAATATTCATGATTTCAGCTTGTTTTTGAGTCTTCCATTACAAGATGTCTTGGACAAAGTAAGTGTTCAATAAACTTGCTAAACATACGATTAAGTTAATGGATACACTTTGGTTAATTGTCGTCACTGGAAATGCATCGAGTCCAAACATTTAATTTTTCTGGGCCAGAGCTGCAAGTATCTTGTTATAATCCACCTTGTCCTACTGCTGCTGATAGAGCAGTATTGGCTGTAGTTCAATGGGGTTTCTTGCTGAATGAGGAATTGTGAGAATTCTCAGTGAGAATTGAATTAATTTGGCCTAGAAAGCATGGTAATTAATTTTCTCTGTCATTTTAAAAATTGAATCTACCATCCATTGTTATTTAAACTTATCTTGGAATATGTCCTGTCTTCACAGCACAGCATGAAATAATTGTTTAAATATATATATATATATATATATATATATATAGGGTATGTATATATTCCTAATCAATTATAATAGGTTTGATATCTTCTGTTAAACAAAACAGGGCTTTTAGGCTTAAAGTCTGAGCCACTAAGAAGCAAAACTGTTTTATTGTTAAAACAAGACTGGCTCTTGACAAGAGTAATTTTTCCCTACCATAGAAAGCCTTCACTTTTTATGCCTCCTGCAGATTTTGCTCCACCGTATTTGTTCCTCTGCCTCTTGGTCAGGAAGTTTGAGTTTATGATCTGGTTTCCCTTAAGCTGATTACCCTGGGAGCAGACATTAGCACTGAGTTGGAGGCAGAGATAAAGGGTTTGTAATTAACTTTATGTCAATAGGGTGCGGTGTGTGGAGTAGGGAGCATTTGGCATGTTTTAGCCTTTCTGTGTGGTTGGGCAGTACTCAGAGGGCACACCACGCACTTTTTAATTTAAAAAAAATATTTTTTAGAGACTGGGTCTCACTCTGTTGCCCAGGCTGGAGTGCAGATGGTGCAAGCGTAGCTCACTGCAGCCTCTAAATTCTGGGCTCAAGCCTCCCATGTCCCTGCCTCGGCCCCCAGAGTAGCTGGGACTACAAGTGTGCCACAGTATCCATCTTTTTTTTTTTTATTATTATCCATTTTTTATGTTTTTATTTTTAGAGACAGGGTCTTGCTATGTTGCCCAGGCTGGTCTCAAACTCCTGGGCTCTAGTGATCCTCCCCCTTCCTCCTGAAGTGCTGGGAGTACAGGTGTGAGCCACTGCCTCCTTTCCTGTTTTTTTCCTCTGTATATGTTACTCTTGAGAAGGCCTCCCATTTAATGCTTTAGCCAGCTACTCTTAGAACTATCCATGTATATAGAATCAGACTTTTGCTTCTTAAGATTGAACTTCTAATGTGGGGACAGAGGTAGGGTGCCAGAGTTAGCAAATAAAAAAAAAAGTAAAATTTGCATTTGGATCAACAATAAATAGTTTTTTCCTATATCTCATGCACTATTTGATAACTTTTACTAAAAAATTGTTGTTTATCAGGAATGGAAAGGTAGCTGCGTGGCTTGTTTTTTATCTGGCAGCCCTAGTTGGAGGTCATGTTTATGCACACCAAATGCATTGATCATGATCATGTCCAAAGAATGAGCTATGGCTCGTTTTGGTGACTGTGCATGTAACCATCTAAAGGAAGGAGAAGATTTGTAAACTCAAGGGGTATTAGAAGTAGAACAAAGTTAGAAAAAATTTAGTTTTATTCTAGCCTTTTATAGTTAAGGACATTTGCATTCAGAGAGATTGTCACTTCAACAAAGTCACAT